AGTTGGTGTCACATAAATATTCTGATAACTAATTGTTAAGATTGGACTTAAATATAGTTGACAAGGTATTAATTTCTGATTCGATACTGATTCAACAACCAATGGATATAAAGGTGGTTTATTGGAACATTCAGCAGTATAAGAGCTTTGTAAACTTGGCATTAAAAGAGGTAGCTTTCATTATTGAATATAAGAATTATTTTAACATTGTGTTTTAAATAATAATGGAAAATTTGACATCCAACTTACATCAAATCCTTTATAGAGTTCGAAGTTTTCCTTTTGTTCTTGGCTCTTTTTAACTTCAAAATCATGAAGAAGTGCGCTTTCTTTATTATTTTCATTTGCATCATCATCATCATCATCATCCTCCTCCTCAAAATCTTTACCAAGCAAATTCCAATCAAAATTCTCTACATCACTATCTGTAATTAATATAATAATAAAAAGATGCTTGCTTAAAAAAATAAATAAATAAATAAAACTAAACTAAAAAGAAATCGTAAGCATACCATCCATAAGACATAATTGATGTGTTGTAATTTTTGTAAGATATCTATTATGTGAAAAACTATGTTATTATCGAAGTCAAATTTTATTATCAAATTAATGGATGACATTGCCTATGTAAATTGGTCATATTCTTTTTTCGATAAGCTGATGCAGAATCTTCATAACAGCCATTTTCGCTCCAGTGTATAACTAAAAATTGTTGCGAAGAATTAATGTCATCAGAGATAATTGCTGACAGTCTTTGAAGATAAATGCCAGGCCTTAGAGTTGATAAAGGTTGCAGTGCGTTTGTTTCATAAGGTATCAGAAGCGATTCATAACTAAATTTATGATAATATTAATTAAATAATAATTCATCGTAGAATATATAAGCTGAAAGTAATTTACACACATATTATGGTCAATAACATTTTTATTCAATAGTAACTTTGCAATAAGGTCGTTTCTACCATAGCATCCAATAAGACGAACACGGCAGGAATTCAAGCGTTCAAATCGAATTTTCGAAATCGATTTAAAGCTGTTTGGTATCATTTCATTACATAGTTTCTTCAAATGTTGCTGAGAAATTAATACCTTGTCAACTATATTTAAGTCCAATCTTAACAATTAGTTATCAGAATATTTATGTGACACCAACT